TCGCTCATTCCGCCGGCCCTGGAGCTTTCTTTAGGGCCTCTTGGGGGCCTCTTGGGGACCTTTTGGGGGTCTCTTGGGGCTCCTTGGCGGCGTCTTGGGGGCCCCCAGGGCCTCTTGGGGGGCTTTTGGGGGCCTCTTGGGGCGGGAGGGGGGGTAGTCGATTGCGGCTCCCCCCTCGGAGGCCACGATCCTCGTGAGGGGTGTCGAAGAATGGCCCTCCCCTGGAGTGCTCTGGTGGCTTCTCCCGGGACCTTGCCGGGGTACTTTTCGTCCGGGGGCCCCCAGGGGCCTCTCCGCGCGCGCGAACTAGAAATATTGTTAACCAGTTACCGGAGATCTTAGCACGCCCCTTGCCCGTTGGGCCGGCGAATTACTTGCAATCGTTCTAATGTTATCATTGTTACTTCTCTTGCGAATGGTAATCGTTAATATGTTACGAGTGTTATAAATAATAGCCATCTAACCAACATGTTCTCATGATTAAGATGATTATTTTTGCCACTCGCACTACCACTACTATGTATATTCAGATGAACCGTATTAAGAGGCATACCAGTGGTAAGACACATAACAAGCATACCAGTTACACGGATGTTGGTATTGCGCAGAAGAAATTTCGGAGTAGTAATAAAGGCAGTGAGAGCAATACTTATAGTATTACGTAGAAAATGCATAACACGAAAACTAGTACAACGACTAATAGGACTACTTAGAAGAGGAATACGGCTAATACTAGCATTACGCCGAATAAGGACAACACTGTTCATACTGATCGTATTATGACTAATAACGTTAGCAATACGAATGCCACGGCACATAACTATACAATGTTTGCTGCTTTAAGGTGCACTCGTAAAACCAATCGTTAAAACGCACACATCTTTAGCAAAAACAAGGAGAAAACTACGAATCATACATGTATTCATAATAAACTAGAACAGGACACGCATACAACCACGAATGCTACCAGTAATGCTGCCACCTGATTGTAATACGATTACCTTTTGTTTGAATAAAACGTTGATACAACTGAGAAGAATATGAGGAGGAGGAGGAGGAGAAAGGAGGAGGAGGAGGAGGGAGGGTCGGGTCGGTTGTCGCGTTCGCTTCCGTTCGGGTTCCGCTGCTTCTTCGCCTTGTGGCTCCTCTCATGTTTTTTTCCCGCTTGTTCTTTCCCCTTCCTCCGGTTTCTGGGTCCCCTCCCTTGTCCCTGCTCGCTTCGGCTCCGCCCCGCTCCTGGCTTCGCCCCTTTCCCTCCCTCCCCAGGTTCGTCCCCCTATGCCTTTGGGCTGGGCGTCCCCGCTGCCTCTCTTGGTGCCACTCCTTTGGGCTTGCGTCCCTTTCAACGCCCCTTCTGCACGCTCCAGGCGCTGCCCTTTGCTCTTTGTCCGCCTCGGCGGCCCTGCTTGGACCAGTCTGCGCCTGCGGAGCGACCCGCGGAGGCAAAAAGGAAAAGCGGGAGGAGGAAGAGGGAGGACGAGGGCAAGGATGGCCACTGCATCACCGAAGGCGATGGACGAGGGCCACATCGCGCACGCCCCCGCAGCGAGCAGCGGCCTGCCATCCGCAGCCAGGCCGCCCAGCAGCGACTTGCGGCCAACAGCGGGATCCCCCACGGCGTTCAGGCCCAGGGCCCGCGGCCTTCGCCTGTCCGCCCCCTGCCCCCCCAGCAGGTTGAGACCTCCCAGCTTGCACCTTCTCCTCCTCCTCCTGCTGCTGCTGCTCTTCCTTCTCCTCCTCCTCCTCTCCATCCTCCCCGCCGCCTCCCCCTTCTCCTCTTCCTCTTCCTCCTCTTCTTCCTCCTCCTCCTCCTCCTCTTCCTCTTCCTAGTCTTGTCCCGCCCCCATCTGCCCCCCCTTCCCCCTGCCTCCGCCTCCCACCTGCGTCCCCTGCGTCCCCTGACCCTCCCCGCAGCAAGGCGGGGGAGGAGCGGGGGCATGCGCAGGCTTTCGGCGGCCCCTGCCCTCAGGGACGCTCAGCGGAGGGGCGGCTCCCCCGGCAGCCCCGCGCCGCTGGGCGCGGATGCGGCCATGGGCTGGGCCACCAGGGACCTGGCCTCGAGGCCGAACTCCCCGCCCCGCAGGGCCGCAAGCCCACCTCCGCCCGAGTGGGCGCAGTCGTCCTCCTGGGCCTGGGATCTCTGGCAGAACCCCGAGGTTGTCACGGCCGCGTCGCTCCGCCTCTCGTTCTCCTCGCTCCCTCGCTTCCCCCCCCGACCTCTCCTGCTCTCCCCTGCTGCCTCGCCCCCCCCTCTCTCCCCTGCTGCCTCGCCCCTCCTGTGCCTCCGCCTCCGCCTCCGCTCCTCCTCGTTTCTGACTCCCCCGCTCCTGCTCCTTCCGACGAGAGCGGCAGTGGTGACCAGTGGTAGTGAGTGACCACAGGGTGGTTCACTGCCAGAGGCTAGTGTGTGTGTGTGTGTGTGTGTCTGTGTGTGTGAGAGAGAGAATGGGATCCCGCTTCTGAGGGCCCGGCTGCGCGCGCTAGTTCGTGTTGCTTGCTCGACTGGCTCCGCCTCGTCGCTGCGCGCGAAGCCGCGAACGCCAACAAGTGTAAGTGTGTGTGTGTGTGTGTGTGTGTGTGTGTGTGGTGTGTGTGTGTGTGTGTGTGTGTGTGTGTGTGTTCGTGCGTGTGTGTGCGCAGCGTGTGTTGTGTTGTCGCGTGTGTGGGCTGTGCGCGCGCGCGCGCGTGCGCGCGTGTGTGTGTGTGTGTGTGTGTGTGTGTGTGTGTGGTGTGTGTGTGTGTGTGTGTGTGATGTGTGCGTGTGTGCGTGTGCGTGTGCGTGTGCGTGTGTGTTGCGTGCGTGCGTGCGTGCGTGCGCGTGCGTGCGTGTGTGTGTGTGTGTGTGTGTGTGTGTGTGTGTGTGTGTGTGTGTGTGTGTGTGTGTGTGTGTGTGTGTGTGTGTGTGTGTGTGTGTGTGTGTGTGTGTGTGTGTGTGTGTGTGTGTGTGTGTGTGTGTGTGTGTGTGTGTGTGTGTGTGTGTGTGTGTGTGTGTGCGTGAGTGCGTGCGTGCGTGCGTGCGTGCGTGCGTGCGTGCGTGCGTGCGTGCGTGTGTGTGTGTGTGTGTGTGTGTGTGTGTGTGTGTGTGTGTGTGGGTCCCGCTGGGCCCAGGAAGGGCGCGTGCCTGCCCTCCGACGCTTGTTCGGTGACGCCTCGGCCAGGGTGTGTGGTGGCACCAGGGTTGCCGGCCGGCACAGGGAGAGGGTCCTCGTCGCCACGGAAAGACTGTAGAACGGAGGGGCACCACGGCGGACACCACGAGCGTCCTTCGTCGCCACGGCTGGAAATCGGCACTCCAGTGCACCGCCCCGCGCAGGTGGACCGCGCGCCGCTGCCCAGACGGGGCGGCGCCTGGCGTCCCACCCTGCGTCCCGCCGAGGCTGCGCCGACGGGCATCGCGACTGGGATCCCCCCTCTTCCACGGGCGGCTCGCCTCGCCCCCCCCGCGCAAGTGGCGGCGGACGCTGGCAGCTCGAGCGCCGAGGATTGCCACAGAGCCCCCAAAGGGCGGGGCGCGTGCCGCCCCCCTGTGCCAGGTGCCTTCTGCCACGACCCCCCTCAATGCCAACGGAGCCCTGGCCGCCACAGTCGAGTACACACAGCGAGCGGGCGGCGAGCCCAGTGCGGCCGGGGTCAGGTCCTGCTCCCAGCGCGGCCGGGGGCATCGGGGACCCCAGCCGACGCGCCGCCGCCTTCCTTCGCGGCTTCCTCCACCTCCTGGCCTCGCCAGTCAGCCAGTCCGCCAGTCAGTCAGTCAGTCAGTCAGTCAGTCAGTCAGTCAGTCAGTCAGTCAGTCAGTCTGTCAGTCAGTCAGTCAGTCAGTCAGTCAGTCAGTCAGTCAGTCAGTCAGTCAGTCAGTCGGATGCTTTGCACCAGACGGTGCGCCAGCAGAGATGGGAAAACGCGCTGCAAGCTCGTGCTGCACCGCCTGGCGGAAGCAATCAGCAAGGCGAGCGGTGGAGCCGGCCACGCGCAGACAACAGTGTATCACCACGTTGCCCCAGTTATGTCGGGGAAGGCCTCCGTTCCGAGGTCCAAAAAAGAATCAGGCCCTCGCCGCCCCGATTTTTTTGCGGCTGCACCGAGAGGCCACCGCTGGCCCTCGGTGCGCCGGGGCGCCTTCTGCAGGGAGGGCTCCTTCATAGACCGACATGGCACCTATTCGGTGCCCCCCCACTTTTTGTTTGGTTTTCACGCCAGCTCGCGGTCCCCTCTCGGCAGTTCGGCCCGTGGGCCTGCTCGCTCGCTGCTCCCATGCGGTGCCTCTCCTCGGGTACCCTGGCCGCTCCCCCCTCCGCGCAGGTGGGCCGCTCCCCCCTCCGCTGGTGGGCCGCTCCTCCTTCCGCCAAGGTGGGCCGCCCCCCTCCCGCGCAGGCGCACAGGCGCACAGGGCACGGGTGGGCCGCCCCTCTACGCCCGGCGCCTCTCCCTTCGTGCCTCGCCGGCGGGCCGCTCCCCCTTTGGGCCGCTCCGTTCCGCGCAGGTGGGCCGCTCCCTCTGCGCGGGTGGGCCGCCCTTTCCTCGCAGGCGCTCCTGGCCTGCACCTTGGCCCCCCCCCCCCCCCTTTCGCGCCGCAGGACTGCTGGTCTCGGCGCTCGCTGGGCCCTTGCTTCCGCGGGCGATGTGTATGCACCGTGCCGCGTTGGTGTCTCCCGAGGCGTTGGCGATCTGCGGCCCAGGAGTGGTACGGTGCATAGTTTATCGGCCCGTAGGAGCCCCAAAACAGTGCACCCTACCACGTTGGGGCGGGGCCTGAGCGGAGTCCAGGCATGGTGCGGTGCATGGGCGCCGTTCTCGTACTTGCCAGCTCTTTGCGGCCCCCCCTGCCAGCGGTCCCCTTGGCAGCTCTGCCAGTGGGCCTGCGCGCTCGCTGCTCCCTCAGCCCGGTCTTCCGGCCGGCCTCTCGTTCATGCACGAGCCTTCTGGTGGGTGGGCTGCTGCCGCGCTGCCGTGGCGCCTTGCGCTGCCCTCTCCCCCCCGCGCCTCGTTGGTCTTCAGATCTCGGCGCCCGCCCACTCACCGCTGGTGCTCCCAGCACCGCGCCGCTTCCTCGTTGGCGTGGCTCTGCCTCTTCGGCCATCGTCCTTCGCCTGCGCGCCGGCCTGCGCTTGCCGCGCTCAGTGCAGTGCACTCGTGTCTTCCGGCGCTCCGCCCTTCTCGCCCCCCGCCGCGCCTCGTAGGTCACCAGATCTCGGCGCCTCGCCTCTCCGCTGAGTTCCGCTCGCCCGCCCACCTGCTGGCACTCCCGGCTCCACGCCGCTCCCCCTGATGGCGTGGCTCTGCCCCTTTGTTCTTTGTCAATCGCCTTCACGCCGGCCTGCGCTTGCCGTGCTAGTGCAGCTCTCTCTCGTGGCAGCCTGCGCTCCGCCCTTCACGCCTCCCGCCGCGCCTCGTAGGTCACCAGATCTCGGCGGTTCGCCCCACCGCTGGGTTTGCCTGCTCAGCCGGCTCCCCCATTGGTGTGGTGACCGTGTCAACGTGTGCTGCTCACCCACCTGGCTTTGCCCGGCCGCCGCCGGGCCGCCGGTCCCCCCCTCAGCTGCTGCCTGGCGCCGAGGCTGGTTCCCCCGCTTCGGCGCTCCTCCCGCCGCAGCCGGTGACTTGCCTGAGCGGGCCCGGCTTCCCCTCTCCCCGTCGCGCCGGGGTCTCTTCTCTCGCGCACTGCGGCCCAATTTGCATCTAGCGCGCCCCCTTGATGCCCGATCGCCAGAGCAGCCACCCTCTGTCCAGCCGCCGACGCAGAATATATATATATATATATATATGTGTGTGTGTGTGTGTGTGTGTGTGTATGTGTGTGTGTGTGCGCGTGTGCGTGTGCGCGTGCGTGTGCGTGTGCGTGTGCGTGTGCGTGTGCGTGTGCGTTTGCGTGCGTGCGTGTGTGTGTGTGTGTGTGTGTGTAGACATCCTGAGTGTTTCGCCCGCCTGCTCGCTTAGCGCAACCACCCGCCAGGGAAACCGTGTGGAATTCACGCTATTCTGGAGCCCGTTCTGGTTCTCGCTGTGGTGACGTCGCTCAGCCGGCGGAGGGAAAGCGCGGGTCCTCTGAGCGCCCCGCCAGTGCAGCATTTTCCCGTCGGCCTGCCGTTTGTAGACTGTCCCCGCTTGTTCCCGTTCACGGCTGCCCCCCCCGTGAGATTCCGTGCGTTGTGCGGCTCCTTGCGGGTGAACCCTGCGCCGCCCCGCCCGGTGGTTGCGTGCCAGGAATGCTCGAAGGGCTCTTGGAACTGTCTTGGGGCTTTCTTGGGGCTTCTTGGAGGTATGGAGGAGGCTACATGTAATTATCTTCGTCCATCTTGAGCCATCTTGGAGGCCGTCTTGGGCTGCCGAGGGCCCTCTTGGAGCCATCCTGGGCCCTTCCTCCCAGGCCCAGGGGAAGGGGTAGGGGGAGGGGCCAAGACACCTTCCTCGATAGCAAGCCGTCTAGCTCACTCCCAACCGCCTTCCCAACACATAAGCAACACCCGAGCCTCAGCATGTTCAGATGTCGTCTTTGGATGGGCATCTACTGGGAACCAAAGCCGAACCCATGTGCGCGACGCTGGGGCGAGATGCGCCACGCGTGCCAAGCGCGCCACGCGCGCCAGGCACCCTTGGGGCCCGAGCATGCCAGGCACTCCAGTGCGCCAGATGCGCCACGTGCCTCCGCGTGCGCCAGGAGTGCCGCATGCTCCAGCCGCGCCAGGTGCGCCACGATCGGGGCACGTGCAGAGTGTGTCAAGTGCGCCTGCGCACGTGACAGCACACATCGGGAAACATGCCGGCCCACGCCATCCATGTCGAAAACCAATGCCCATCATCGTGTTTGGTGGGCCTGCGCACAACAGGCTATACGCCACCACTTGACTGTGATCGCAGTGTGGCCGCGCATGATCCAGATTTAGCCGCTAGGTGCATCTTGGATTACTTTTTGTAACGAAAGGCAGCCCTGCGCGCAGCAGGCAATCTGCTGACACCCCCACCGTCCCTGTCAAAAAAACAATGCAAAGTGCTCGCGGGCCTCACGAACATGACTCCAGACTTTGCCCTATACGTTGTGTCGTTTTTTACAGGGATGGTGTTGGGGGGCCCTCATGGGGTCCTCATTGTTCCTGGTTGGCTGCCGGTCGCCTGGGGGAGGGTGTGTATATTTAAAGAGAACAGTGATGAACCCCTCCCCCGAGCTGGGGAAGGACGGGGAAAGAAGACAAAACTCGTTAAGCCACCCACCCCCCAAAGGGCTGGTGGGATTCTCCCTGGGTCCTGGGGCCCGAAGTTGTCCCCGTGGGCGACTAGACGGTCGTCAGGGCGGTTCAAGATGGCCTGGATGGGGTGTCAGGTATTCCACGAAGCATCTCAAACGGCCAACGGGGTCCCAAAGATCGCTCAACAGGGTCCCAAGAAGGCCCCCAAGTGGGCCCCGAAAGGTAAACATCGCCCTGTTTGTTATAGGGAATGTTCATTCTTAGCAGATTCGCTGTTTTTGTCTTTGCTCCGTCCAAGGCGACCACCCAGTTCCCCAAGACGACCCAAGAGGCCCCCAAGAAGGCCCGAGGATAGCTCAAGAGGGGCCCAGGACGGCCAAAGAGGCCACCAAGATGGCCGAACAAGCAGTCCAATGATGATATTGGTGACGCCAACGAGGATGATGAGGCTGACTCGAAGGACGACGCTCACCAAGGTCCCGCCCAGGTCGTCGTCTCGGGCTATGCCGACGCGCTTGAGCGAATCTGGGGTCACGGCTGCCACAGCGATGGCTTCTTGGACAAGTTCAAGACGACACCCAGGCGGCCCAAGAACGCCCTGAGACAGACCAAGAAGTCTAACAAGAGGGCCCAAGACACACCAAGAGCGCCTCCAGAGGGACCCCCATATGCAAGGACCATCAGTCAACCTCCAATAGGCCACCACGACGCCCCCACATTCATGCCCTAAGAAATTCCCAGATGCCCCCAGGTACCCCCAAACGGCTTCTGCCAGGGTCCCAGAGGCTTCCCAAGAGCACCCACGGAACTTCGTCCAATGCCTCAATCCCACTCGATCTTCGATCCTTCCCTTCTCTTTCCTCCCTCCCCCGTCTCTTCCCTCGTCCTTCCTCCCTCCGGTTGGTTGGCATGGGTCGAACCTCAGGGCTGCTTCACTTGCGTGGCACCACAGCGCCATGAACTGCGCCAGAACCTAAGTGCGCGCGAGGCGCGCGTGGTTCTGGCTTTTGAACGAGGGGGGTTGCCCCGCCGTGAGAGTGGTGGGGTGCTCGTTCGCGCCCGACCCAGACTCCGAACGCAAGCGAGGACACTGCAGCTGTGAGCACGGTCCGCCGCCACAAGGAACTTAACCTTGGCACGCGTACAGTTGAACAGCACCCGTGCGCTTGCTCAGAACGCTGGCCTCTAGGGCGGCCGATATCCCAGACCCGGTCGGCAAGCGAGCAAGTGGAGTCGGACGACGAGTTCTGGGACAGGCACAGGAAGACGGGCGCCATCGCCCGGCTGGTGACCTACTCCATCGGGGAGTCCCCTCAGGACCGCGCGCTCGCCGGGCCCTCTGGTGCGCCGAGGTGGGTTCTCGGACGCACTCCGCGGGCCCACACCCGTGCAACCTGCTGCGCTCGAGGCCGCAGGAGGCGGTGGAGGAGGAGGAGGAGGAGGAGGAGGAGGAGGAGGAGGAGGATGAGGAGGAGGAGGGAGGAGGAGGAGGGAGGAGGAGGAGGAGGGAGGAGGAGGCAGGGGAGCAGGAAAGAGGAGGAGAGGAGGAGGAGGAGGAGGAGGAGGAGGGACGGAGGAGGAGGAGGAGGAGGAGGAGGAGGAGGAGGAGAGGCGGAAGGAGAGGGATGAGGTGGATGAGATGAGGAGGAGAGGAGGAGTTTGAGGAGGAGGAGGAGGAGGAGGAGGAGGAGGAAGAGGACCAGTAGGAGTTTTGAGGAGGCGGAGGAGTGGGTTCAGGAGGAGGAGGAGGAGTAGCAGAAAGAGGAGGAGGTGGAGGAGGAGAAGGAGGAGGAGGAAGACCAGGATGAGGAGGAAGAGGAGGTGGGGGAGGAGAAGGACTAGTGTAAACCCAAGACGGGTCAGCGATGTTGCTGTAAACACTTCCTCCAAGTTTCCTCTTTCATAGACCTTTACAAGAGTTTCCTTTCATTGCGGGAAGTGCCCCATTGAAAGGCAAAGGTATGACAACATAATCGTGCCGACGTACCGTTCCTGAGACTTCAACGCCGCGAATCAACGTGACTGTTTGGTCCTGACAATATTTAATCGTGCCAGACCACGGTTCTAGGTACGTCAATACCACGAATCAACCAACGATACGGTTGCGTCCTGACCATGATAGATCGCGCCAACCCTACGATTCCTTGAAACAGTGGCAAACTTTTACAACGGATGTGCGCGGCGCTAAGGCAGGAGCCACATTTTGAAAAGGAACCGCCCTCCGTCTTCGAAGCTGTTGCAGAATTCTATAGCAAGTGCGCGTGGTGCCGAGGCGAGAACCACATTTTGAAACCTAGCCGCCTCCATTTTTGAAACGGCTGTAAACTTTTAAGAGAAATATGTGCTGCGCTAATATGAGAGCCACATTTTGAAAGGGAGCCGCCCTCCATCTTTGAAGCCATTGCGACCTTTGAGACGAATGGCGAGAGCCATAGTTTGAACAGGAGCCACCCTCCATCCGTGAAACTGCGGCAAGCTGTTAAAGCTAATGTGCGCGGCGCTAATGCGAGAGCCACATATTGAACACGAGCCACCCTCCATCCGTGAAGCTGTTGTAGTTTTCCACATCCTAAGTGGGTTTCTCGTTTTCTCTGGACACGCCGCGCAGTCCTCACCAAGAACCTTCTTTCATCATCACCTCGCACACCCATTCGGACCTTTCATCAGGACCTCTCAGACTTATCACGATCACCATCACCATCATCATCATCATCATCATCATCATCATCATCATCATCATCATCATCATCATCATCATCATCATCATCATCATCATCATCATCCCATCATCATCATCATCTGTTGTTATCATCATCATCATCATCATCATCATCATCATCATCATCATCATCATCATCATCATCAACATCATCATCATCATCATCATCACCACCATCATCATCATCATCACTACCAACATCACACCACCATCGTCATCATCACCATCGCCGTCCCACTCTGATCAGCGGCCATCACCACCATCACCACCGCCGCCATCATCACCATCTTCATCATCATCACCATCATCATCTTCTCATCCCATCGCCGTCATCATCATGATCCCGCAGCACTCATCAACACACCAATCATCACTCACACACACACGCACTTTACTCATTCATACCCGCACACACTTCACTCATCACCATCACCATCACCATCACAGTTATCACCATCATCATCGTCGTCACCATCATTACGCCGTGACCATCGGCCATCATCATCATCAGCATCATCATCATCATCATCATCATCATCATCATCACCATCACCATCACCATCACCATCACCATCACCATCATCATCATCATCATCATCATCATCATCATCATCATCATCATCATCACACCATAGTCGTCGCACGCGCTCAGGCACTCACTCACACACTTACGCATTTGTCTGCAGGACGTCTCGAGCGCATGTCTATTTTGTGGGTGGACTGGGAGGAAGTCTCAGACGGGAGCCCTCCCCCTGTGGGGCCCGCCCTTCATGTTTGAATCTGAGGCGGGTCATCGGCACATGCGTAGCAATTGAGCACCCTAGGGAGGCAAACTTGTGAGTGAACTTAGAGGAAGTCCCAGGCGCAAGCCCCATCCCTGTGGGGCTCGCACGTCATGTTGGTAATCCGAGCGTGTCATCGGGATACTCTACCAGGCATAACATTTGAGCACCCCGAGCGGGCAACTCGTGAGGATGTCCTAAGCGGGGGCCTCGTCTGTGAGCGATTTGCAAGGAAGTCTCAGACAGGAGTTCCCTCCCTATGGAACTCGCACTTCATGTCGGTAATCCGAGCGGGTCAAAATTTTACCAGGCATAGCACGAGAGCGCCCCAAGGGGGCAGATCGTGAGGATGTCTCAAGTGGGTTCCTCGTCTGTGAGTGAATTACGTCGGGCGGGAGTCCCTTCCCTATGGGGCTCGCACTTCATGCTGGTAATCCGAGAGGGTCATCGGCAAACTCCTGGGCATAGCACGAGCGCCCCAAGGGGGCAAATCGTGAGGATGTCTCAAGCGGGTTCCTCGTCTGTGAGTGAATTACGATGAAGTCTCCGGCGGGAGCCCCTTCCCTATTGAGCTCGCACTTCATGTTGGCAGTCCGAGAGGGTCCCCGGCAAACTTCACCAGACATAGCACAAGAGCACCCCGACGGGTGCACTTCGTGAGGATGTCTCGTGCGGGGGCCTCGTCTGTGAGTGAAGTGCGATGAAGTCTCGGGCGGGAGCCCCTTCCCTATGGGGCCCGCACTTAAGAGCGCCTGGGAGAGCCCAACATTCCCTCCAAGATGGCTCAAGATATCCCAAGATGGCCCCAAGAGGCCCCCCAGAGGACCCCAGGAGGCCCCCAAGAGACCCCCAAGAGGCCCCAAGAGACCCCCCAGAGGCACCTAAGATGCTCCAAGAGGCCTCGGCGAGAATGCCAAATCATTGATTTTACGAGGGTCTTAGCCACATGTTGGCCTCTTGGTGGGGCACTGATTAAGATGACTCCAAGAGCGCCTGGGAGAGCCCAAACTGACCTCCAAGATGGCTCAAGATATCCCAAGATGTCTCATAATGGCTTCCTCTGTGTGCTGCCCACTTCCCTGATCGAGGCAATTCCTCTGGGCATCGTCTCTGGATGGGCTGGTGGGGATTTTTTTTCGCGGCCGCAAGCGAAGAGCGCGGGCGGCGAACAGGGAGTCCGGGCCGACGGGCAAACCTAATTTGGTGGGGATTCGCGAAGCGTCAGCAATTACGAAGAAGTCTCAGGCGGGAGCCCCCTCCTTGTGGGGCCCGCACTTCGCGTTGGCAATCCGAGAGCGTCATCGGCAAACTCCCAGGCAGAACACTTGAGCACCACCGGCCGCATGGCAGAAGTCTCGAGCGGGAGCCTCGTCTGTCAGTCAGGCGCGAAGAAGTCTTGAGGCCCTCTGGTGCCCGCCCGTCGTGTTGGCCATGCGAGCGGGTCCTCGGAACCCCGTACCCGTCGTCACTTTTGGGCTCCCCTGGCCTGCCACACCAGCAGAGAGCAGAGGGCAGACGCAGACTGATGCGAGCTCTCACGGGCCACCCCCTCGAGCCATCGGAGGGGGCGGAGGAGGAGGAGGAGGAGGAGGAGGAGGAGGAGGAGCAGGAGGAGGAGTGATGAAGATGAGGATGCGGAGGGAGGAGGAGGAGGAGGAGGAGGAGGAGGAGGAGGAGGAGGAGGAAAAGGAGGAGGAGGAGGAGGAGGCGGAGGAGGAAGAGACGGAACAGGAATTCAGGAGGACGACGGCGGCAGGGCACAGGGGGGGAACTCCTCGTGTCTGGGCCACGGGTGGTAACCCATCCGCGGCCGAATCGGGCGCAGGGGGACACCCCTGCACCTGGGGCGCAGGTGGTAACCGATCGGCGGCCGAACCGGGCGCAGGAGGAAAGCCTTGCTTCCAGGGCGCGGGTGGTAACCCATCCGCGACCTGCGATTGTCCCAACGGGGCGTCCTGCGGGGCTGTCCTGCGGGGTGCCCCAGCGGCTTGCCCACGCGCCCCAGCGGCTCGCGGGGTTCTCCCGACAGCCTGGCCCGCGGGGTTGCCCCAAAAGCTTCGCGATCCGGCCATCGGAGAACGCGCGCATGCTGGCAGAGGCGGCGACGTCACCGAGGAAAGTCGACTTGCACGCCCTTGCAAGAGAGGTGGGGGAGGAGGAGGATGGCGGAGAGGGGCCGGGAAGACGAAGAGGATGCAGATCAGGTGGCTGGAGGAAGGCCTCCGTTAGGGCGAAAAGGAGAAGGGCGATGAGAACACAGGAAGATATCAGGAATATATCCTCGGCAGTCACAAGGATGACGACGAGGAATGCTGTCATATTCGTTTGGGAGGTTCTTGTGTGGGTCCTTGCGTTGGAATAAGCTTCAAGCTTCAGGGTCATAAATCGTGGGGAAGTCTCAGGCGAAACGCCCAGGCCACTTTACCGACACGTCTTGTGGCCTCCTGGGGGCTATTTGGGGGCTTCTTGGTGGGCGTCTTGGGAGCCTCTTGGGGCCGCTTGGGCCCATCTTGTGGCCATCTCGGAGCCCTCTTGGGGCTCTCTTGGGGGCCTTGTAGGTCTTCTTGGAAACATCTTGGATGATATCGATCGAAGAGGGTGGGTTCCAATTACCGCACCCACAGGAGCCCCAGAAGTCGCCTCTTAGGGCCCTCTTGGGGCACTGTTGGGGCGCTCTTGGGCGTTTATTGGGTCGTCTTGGGGCCGTCTTGGGTCTCTCTGCGGGCCCTCTTGGGCCATCTTGATGCCATCTTGAGGCTTCGGGAGCCCGTCAGAAGCGAAAGGGCGAGA